AACTGTCTTTAATTAAAGCAGTTTGGATGTTGCAGACATATTCACTAGGTTTAAATTCACTGGTTTATGATGAATGAAACTATGCATTCGATAGTTAAATGCAATATTTAATGGGTCCAAATTATGTTCTCCCTGTATGTATGGAATAGTACATGAATTGTATAACAAATGCAGATTAATATAAATAAATATTAAAATCAATATTAAATTCAGCTCTCATGTTTTCCATTTTAGGTGAATGGTATCTTACCAAGTCTGTTGGATGGTGAATGCTTTGTTAGATCAAATAGCACAGAACAGAAACTTGGTACGAGTATATAAAACTATTGTTATCATGCATCCCAAGGTGATATGCCTTGGCTACTTACAGCGCCTCATTATGTCTGTTTTTGTACCAAATCTGATGTTTTAATCAGATTTCTTTTATAACTGGGTGCTCCTTTCAATATCACTTACACATACCTTACATGTCTCTGAATTCTGTAGTTCATACTATTATATTCTGCTTCTTTCCTTTCTTTCCTCTTTCATATTTAATTGAATCGCATATAAGCAGCACTTGGTAGATTTCAATTGAAGATGCATTTCTAATATAGCAAATACTATAAATGTTTTCTGATTGAAAGTGGTGTTCTAATTGTATTGAGTAAGTTTATGTAGTAAGAGTTTATTGTTGGCTTTCTTGGGTACAATCACAAAGTCATCAATTAACATGCTGTTCATTTATTTATTCTATCTAGGTATTCTCTTCGAAATATGTCTCTCATATGTTAGAACAGTAAGTACATGTATTTTGTAAACCATTTTTAATCCAAAAGGAAATCTAGTGCATTGTGGGAAATCTGGTGCATTGTGGGCAATCCGGTGCATTGTGGGCAATCCGGTGCATTGTGGGCAAACCGGTGCATTGTGGGCAATCCGGTGCATTGTGGGCAATCCGGTGCATTGTGGGCAATCCGGTGCATTGTGGGCAATCTGGTGCATTATGGGCAATCTGGCATATTGTGCTGGATGTTATCTCTTATTATTTATTGTATTAAAATGTCTCTTTCAGAAAACTGGTGAGAAAGGTGAGTTTGGTTGTGGCTGGTATCACTTGCCACTGTTTGATGAAGATACTGGTGGACCAATTATAAGCAAGTAAGTCTTTTTAAGGTTTTATGCCACATGTTAATGACTTTAAAGAAATCATTTCACATATGTTAATGATTTTAAAGTTGCCATGTTACATTTTGATGAACATATTACTTACAGGAGTTATGAATTGACTGTTAAAGGAGGTACACCATATGAACAAGATGTTGAAGTTGATCCTTCAATAAGCAGAAAAGGTACTTAACAAACATGTATTATTACTGAGCTAATCTAAAAGAAAGTTAGTTTTCCACTTGATGACAATGTAGCCTCACAAAACTTAAACTTATTCAGCAATTTTGTGGAAATAAGTCTTTTACAGTGAACTGATTGTACCGTAGTGCTGTTTCCATATCCATGCATGAATGTGGAGTTGTCTCTTTCATGGAAATAGAATCGCTAGATACAGTAGCTTATCTTAGACCCCTGTATTGTCTCTGTGGGTAAATTCATGTACAGTGTTAATGTTACACTGGGCAATAGTTTACAATCGATGTGTATACATTACTCATTAAAATAAATCTTTATTGTCCATATTAACAGCGTCAACTAGCAAAATTCGAGCCATGATGTCAGCAAATAAACAACCTAAACTTATTGTTCGGATATTAGCCCCAAACAAAGATCAGAAACAACTATTGGAGTAAGTAAAGCTTGTTTATCACTGTTATTTTATCATTGAGATTATTCCATCTTTGTTGTCAAGGAGTGTGTACTGTAGGTGGGTAATTGTTAGTCCTGGTTCTGATGAAGCCTGAAAATTGAGATTAATTTTTGAATGCTTTGTGTGTGTGTGTGTGTGTGTGTGCATCTCTACCTGTATTATCAGATTCAAAATGGCTGAATGGCAATCATTTCTGCCATTCCGGAACTGGATGTTTCATTCAAACTTGGTAAAACATTGGACAATATGTGATTTCAATGCACTTCTGTTTTCAGGGCTGCATTTGATTAAAGATGGTCGAATTGCAATTGTTTTAATGTCAAAATCATTTATTTCTGCAATTCCGAGTCTTGATCTGGGACATGCATAGATGTCACTTCGTCAAATTGTATTCAAAAAGGCTGACTGGTGGCCATTTTGTTTTAGTGAATGCAGTGTTGGAGCCATGTCTCTGACATTCTCTGACTGTTCATGTTCAAACTTTATATATTGTTTGTTTGCAGCACTCTCCCAGATGCTTTAGTTTCTAGTGCATCATATCTACCGTTTATTTCTTATTATCGTAAAATATGTGCAGATCTGCTTCTAAGAGACAGAATTAACATGGAAACTACAGGTAATCACATTACTTTATCACATAGTACTTCAATGATATATCAATTCATACCAGTGTATTAAAGCAATGTAATAATTTAAAAGTTCTATTTTTCCATATTGTGTAAATTCCTGGTAATCTGATTGGTCCATGTAAGCATGTTGAACTTTTGACATCATGGCTGATTATTATAAAATACACCAATATCTCAACACGTTTGACACAATATTTCATGAATTATTATTAGTAATTATAATTTGGATATTCTGGGTTGTTTTAGTTGTGATATCCAGCCACATTATTTGCGTCATTTCAAATTCTCCCAACCCAACTTCTCTATGCAGAGAAAATTGTTTAACCTATGACAAGTGGTGATTTTC